CAGTTCTGAAAGATAAGTGTGTGTGAAAGCCACCCTACACCTAGCTTGTTGGGAACACAAAGAATCTTTTAAGTTGCCAACTCCACTGCATACATATAAATGGGGAGTCACAAACTCCAACACGGTTTTTTAGTGAAAACTGCAGGAATTTCAAACAGGCACTAGGAAACAGACTGCGAAACCACTGAAAGTCTTTCTCCTGCAAACTGTTCCCATTGTACACGAAGAACGAATGTCTCTCTACATGCTCAGTTCTGAGACATTTGTGTGTGTGAAAGCCATCCTACACCAAGATGTTGGGAACACAAAGTTTGTTTTCTGTTGCATACTCCACCACATACTTATATATGGGGAGGTACAAGCTCCAACTCGGGTTTACAGTGAAAACTGCAGAAAATTCAAACCGGACCTAGGAAACAGACTCAGAAACCAGAGATATTGATTTCCCTGCAAACTATTCCTTTTGTGCTACATGAATGAACGTATCTCCACATGCTCAGTTCTGAGAAATATGTGTGTGTGAAAGCCGTACTTCACCTAGCTTGTTGGGAACACCAAAATTCATTTCAGAAGCCAAATCCAACACATACATATATATGGGGAGGTATAGGCTGGTAATCGGAATTACAGTGAAACCTGCAGGAACTTCAAACCGGCATAAGAAACAGACTAGCAAACCAGAGTCTGTGTTTCCCATGCAACCTGTTCCCTTTGTACTTGATAAATGAACGTATATCAACATGCTCATTTCTGAGGGATAAGGGTGTATTAAAGCCATTACACACCAAGTTTGTTTTGAACACAAAGTTGATTTTCAGTTGCAAATTACAATACATACATATATATGGGAATGTACAAGCTCCACATGGGTTTACAGTGAAAATTGCAGGAACTTCATACCAGCTTTTGGAAACATACTGAGAAACCAGAGTATGTGTTTCACCTGCAACCCATTCCATTTATGATAGATGAATGAACATCTCTCCACATGCTCAGTTTTGAGAGATAGCTGTGTGCCACAACCGTACTTCACATAGCTTGTTTGGAACACAAAGTTTATCAGTTTCAATCTCTACCCCATACATATATATGGGGAGATACATGCTCCAAATTGTTTTACACTGGAAATTGCAGGAACGTCAATCTGACACTAGGAAACATACACCAGAAACCAGAGTAAGTGTTTCCCCTGAAACCCATTCCCTTTGTGCTAGATGAATGAAAGCCTCTCCACATGCTCAGTTCTGAGTTGTAAATGTGTGTGAATGTCCTACTTCACCTAGCTTGTTGGAACACAAAGTCACTTATCAGTTGTCAACATGAATACATACATACATATGGGGAGATAGAATCTCCAATTTGGTTTTTCAGTGAAAACGGCAGGAATTTCAAATAGGCACTAGGAAACAGTCTGAGAAACCAGAGTAAGTGTTTCCTCTGCAACACGTTCCATTTGTGCAACATGAAAAAACTTCTCTCCACATGCTCAGTTCTGAGAGATAAGTGTGTATGAAAGCCGCCCTTCCTGTAGCTTGTTGGGAAGACAAAGTTTCTTTTCAGTTGCAAACACCACCACATTCATATCTATGGAGAGGTAAAAGCTCCAACTCGAATTTATATTTTAAACTGCAGGTACTTCATCCGGCTCTAGGAAACAGACTGAGAATCTAGAGAATGTGTTTCACTTACAACCCATTCCCTTTGTGCTGAACAAACGAACGTTCTCCACATGCTAAGTTCTGAGATATAATTGTGAGTGTAAGCCGCCCTTCACATAGCTTGTTGGAACACAAAGATGGTGTTCAGTTGCCAACTCCACTACATACATATACATGGGGTGGTACAAACTCCAACTCAATTTTTCAGTGAAAAGTGCAGAAATTTTAAATCG